CCGACCTGCCACCGGAAGTTCCAGAGCGACCTGCCAGTGCCACAAATCGCGCTTGCTGTCTCTCCATATGTGATGTTCCTAGACATTGTCACGGTGGCGCCCCCTTTCGGCGGGTGACGGTGCAGCAGCGGTGCCCTTATCAGGGTGACCGTCCCACCGCCGCCCGCAGGGGCCGCGTTCTCAAGTTCACTGAGCGCAGTTGCCTGCCTGTCCGGATAGCTTGGACCGGGCTGTCCTGCTGAGAGACATTTCACAGCTAGAAGCACTGCTGTGCTTCGGGCGGACAAACCGTTTCCAGGTCTGTTAAAGTCCTATTTTATTGCCTTTAATTTGGCTATTCAAGCGGTTAAACTTCAGCAGTTTTTTTTTTGGCGTCGTTTCTCCTTGAAGAGGTTTTTTTTGTTATCTTGTTCGTTTGTCTAACCAAGATGGACACGGCTTGTCTGCCGGTCGGACCGTAAATAAAGACTTATTTCACTAAATGTAAACTTTTCTGATTTAAACAGCTGTAGCCGAGCTGGGCCGTTCCCATCCCAGAGGTCCTATAATGAACATTTTCCCACTGGAGTTTCGGTAAACTTTACATTTTTTCACCCCACTTGCTTTCCCGCACCATGTCGGGAGTGGTCCGCACCCTGAGCCGCTGCCTGCTCCCGGCGGAGGCCACCCGGGAGCCGGGAGGCAGCAAGCAGGGCAGGAGGGAGAGGGACGCGGCTCAGGAGCGGGAAGCCAGACGCCGGAGCCGGGAGATAGACGCTATGCTGGCCCGGGAGAGGAGAGCCGTTCGTCGGCTGGTGAAGATTCTGCTCCTCGGGGCCGGAGAGAGCGGAAAGTCCACATTCCTGAAACAGATGCGCATCATTAACGGCCAGGAGTTTGATAAGAAAGCGCTCCTGGATTTCCGGGATACTATATATGAGAATATACTAAAGGTAAGGACTGACTTTAATAATACATGACTGGATCATCTTATGTTTACTCTGATTGCTTATACTTCTAAAGCTGTAGAACCAAATGGACATGGTGTTTGTGATACAGCAGTTAAAAAGGCTGATTTTATCCTTTAGTTGATTTTATTGCAGTTGATCAAGTTCCTTCAGTCTATAAAAATATCAGAACCAGAAAAATATCAGAACCAGAACCTCAGGATCAGGAAGATTAATGGGCACAACATCCATGTTTTCTAAATAAGGACTAACTATACGTTTCTACAAACTTTGCTGACAAATAGACACATAAATATTTAAACATCTGTGCTTTCTAGCTAAAAGGTATAGTGGATACAATTCATTGAGGTTTGAGTTTTAGGCGAACATCTTTTCCATTGTCATTACTTACCTACTTTTATCAATAATTATTCTGCACAGAATTGATATTTACAAATACTAATATCTACATAAATTGATTATTTAATACATTTTATTAAAATAGCTATTTATCAATCATTTTACTGAAGACTCTTAGGTTACGTTCACACTGCAGGCTGAAGTGACCCAAATCCGATTTTTTGGCCCACATGCGACCTGTATCTGATCTTTTCATGTCAGTCTGTACAACACAGATCCGATTTTTTCCAATCCGACCCAGGCCACTTGGCTATGTGGTCCGGAATCCGATACGAATCTGATCTTTTCAAATGCGACCTGTGTCTGAACGGCCAGGTTGGATTCATCCGACCTGAACATAATTAATACCCGACAAAGGTCACTATTATTCGCTTGCTATACAGAAGTGGCAGGAAAAACAACGACCATGGCAGATGATGATGCGCAGGGCAGTATTTATGTTTAACCATATTGAAAAGATTGAGTTTTTATGGTTGGAAAAGACCACTAGATGCGCGCCAGCACTACCATCCATGTTTACTTCCGGGGAAAAAATGCATGATGGCCTGTGACGTCATTGCGTCCTCTACTGCGCATGCGAGACAATTGCGTTGTATGACTGCAGTTCACGCAGGAGATCGTAATCAAGTCGCATATATTTGGAAATATGAACGGCAACGCAAAAAAATCTGTTTTCTCAAAAAAAAAATTGGAATTGAGCATCAAGGCCTGCAGTGTGAACGTAGCCTTAGATGTCTTGCAGAGACACATAGTTCCGAAAAAAGCATGAATTCTGTATTTATCATCTTCAATGTTAATGTTAATATATAAAACATTTAAATTATTTAAATATTCCACTTGAGAGTATTACTGCTGCCACTGTCTTTATTAGAGGGAAATAAATGGTAGGGGTGGCCAATGATTAGTTAAGGGTGGCCATGGCCACCCCTGGCCCCCAATCTAGCTCCGCCCCTGATCTCAACATGACTGTTCTTTGTTCTCAACTGATAAATAATGGTGTAATCTTTATCACAAGCAGACTAAATCCTCGTGAAAATAAGGATTTCATGTTGTGCTATACAGTTTTTATGTCTCTAGAAACTCTCTCTGCACCTCCAGCTCTGTTGACATAGTGCATATTTTTATCCTGAAGTCTGTGCGTCCCTGTCCTTTTGTTTGCTGTCATGGCTGGGCCTCCTTCACCAGCTAACAATACCAGACTATTCCTGAGGGATGAGCACATCCGCCCCGAGTGCCACACAGCCCAGACAAGCCAGATAAGAGCCTGCACTCCAACCTCAGACAAGACAGCATTCACAACCCTCCCCCCAAATGCAGGCGTATAGCCACAGCCTGTCTCAGGACAGATTCTGAACACAGTCCTCCCTGAACCCGCCCACACTTAACCACAGTTTAATGTAAACTACACACACCAAAGAATGCATGTCTGCTCATCAGAATGAGCTTGTAACAGAAGAAACTGCTTTGCAGACAGCTTAACATGAGGGTTAGCTGTTAACATGAAAGGATGGAGGTTATTTTCAAAGTTCAGAAAAAGGTCCCACAGCTTTCTTTTGTGAACAAAGCGAGTCCTTCCATGATGATTATACACCTAATAACCACTTTATGTTTCCCCAAAACTTGTACATTTGGTCCAAGGATCATTGGTTGCTTCTATAGAGGCACCAGCTTGTCATGGTTCAGTCACAATCGAACATTCTCATACATGTTATTATAATCATTTTTCTTTTGTATTGTCCTGATTAAAAATCTCAGTGACTTTAGATTTTGTTTCATGTGCTCCTACCAAAATCAGCTTGTTGGAGCAATGGTTATTACTAGAAATTGTGTCTTTTTTTTAGCATTCAATTTATACTTTTCAAGATGTGTGATTTGAAAGATTCTGACTAAAATATAATCTTTTAAAATTAAACCTAATTTCCAGAGCTACTTTTTGCTTTCTGTCAAAGAGCTGTGATTCAGTGCAATCATGCCGTGTTTACTCAGATTGTCTTTGTCTGACATTGCTACCAGTATGATGATCTAAATGATTTAAATGGGACGGACAAGCAAAATCACACCAATGATCTAAAATGGCAAAATAACATTCCAGAAGAATTCTATTCAATTCAGTTGTTTAGCGTCAAATACAACGCATGTCATTGCAAGTCATTTTACTGAGACATTTCAAACAGATCATACAGTTACTGTAAATTGGGTAAATGTTTCTGTCAAGGAGAAGCAGTTGATTGCATCCAGTCATGCAAGACATGCTCCTCCTGGATGGGCTTGCAGCAACGATTCGGGAGATTGGAGATAGAATGAAGCAGAAAGATAAAAACAATGATCCCTATGTCCTACAGCAGCCTAAACATATAAAAGCATACAGTTAATATAAAAAATTACTTTGGATAGCCTAACTTTTGGATGAGGTATGAGAAAGATTTCCAAGTCTTGGTTTAAGGTTCATAAAAAGCTCTATAGATGTTTTTATATATATATATATATATATATATTTTTTTTTAGGGGTTCAACTGTATATACAGGGCTCTGAAGTTTGTTAACCCCACAGATACAGCTAAATGTTTCAGCTAATCTGTTCTATGGATTAAACAATCAGATTAAACCATTATTGAAACAATCATCAACTAATTTAGTAATCGATTAATCATTAACTGGAGTATAGAGACTGTAAATATTCCTTTAGCTGACAGAGCGACCTACTTACAGTGAAAATTAAAATTGTAAAACATAACAAATAAAGTTATATTGAAACGTCTTGCATTTATGATACAATCTTTTTTCGTCTGTCAATACGACCTTTCCAGAACTCATCAAGTGATAAAGCTTTATTTTCATTTGGTTAAATTTTGCAAAAAATCTTCTTTAAGGAACCATTTGCTTTCTGATTATTAATCGATTAATCGGGAAAAAATCGTAAGATTAATCCATTTTTTTTTTTTTCAAAATAATCGTTAGTTGCTGCCCGAAACTGTTTAATTTTTTCTAATTCTAATGTCTTAACCGGAAAATTATTTTTGGGATGAAAACGTTTAGCCGTGTTTTTGTTATTCATGTATAAAACAGCATGAGCTTTCTTTGAAAATGGCATGATTTGAAAGCCAGTTTCAGTGTAGCTTTTGGGGAAGAGAAATCCTTGTCCATGTTCCTAAACAAGGCTGCTCAGTGGGTGGCACTGCTGCCTTGTAGCAAGAAGGTTCTGGGTTCGATTCGATTCCGGGCCTTGGGTCTTTCTGCATGGAGTTTGCATATTCTCCCTGAGCATGTGTGGGTTCTCTCTGGGTACTCTGGCTTCCTACCACAGTCCAAAAACATGACTGTTAAGTTAACTGGCTGTAAATTCTCCTTAGGTGTGCATGTGAATGGTTGTTTGTCCTGTTTGTCCAGCACCCCTTGGGATCCCAGCAGGAATAAGTGTGACGAAAAATGGATAGATGTTTGTAAACAGACAAATATGAAATCTGCACGAATGGAGAAGCCATAACTGATGAACAGTGTGACTTTGACGTGTGGCCTTTTGGAGCAGGCGTTATTTGTAGGCACTCTGATGTTGCTGAGTTTCAAAGACTACTAACTGTTCACTAGTAGCGGGGCAGGTAAACAACACCATTCATCTAGTGATAGTTCTGAGGCGGCCATAACCTAAAAAGTTGTGTAGGTTTGTTACATAAAAAAAAAAAAATCCTTTTCAGTGAATTGTTTATGCTTAAACAACTGAAGATGGTCACAAACAAAAATCTAAAATTGGAAATAAATCTCAAGCTATTCTCTTCCATGGTAAAATGTTTTTATTGTTTTTCACTCACTAAGGGAGTGTCAGGAATATGGAAAAGGATCTCTTAACTTTATAAACAGGTAATCTTTTACTACTTTACTTTTTAATGTATTTCTTCTTTGTAAAGCACCTTGTGATGATATCTGCTGTGAACTAACAATATATATACATCAAATATTAACACTAATGATATTATTACAATAAGTACTTTTTTTATATTTATTAATTTTTATCAGTCATTCCCTATAAGATACAAGCCTGTGGCCAAGCTAACTGGGCCCAATGCTAAATGTTGAGTTGTCAGCACATGTTTCACAAAGGAAGATCATTAGTGGGACACTGCTTTCTACCTCCGTTTCCAGTGTAAATAATCATTGGTCTCTGTGTAAATATCAGTCCCCTGCTAACCTGATAATGATTATATAGTTTATAGAAGAACTTCCTTGTTAATGTCCAGGATACTTTTAAGAATTGAGATGATTCAAGACAGAAATCCAATTCCTGCTCAGCCTTTCTCTGAGCTTTAGTCTCCAGCACCAATTATTAAGTATATCAATGTAAAGCTACCTGCCCTGGGTAAGGTATTAAATGCTTTTACTCTTGTAAGATTTAATATCTTCACAAATCCTCTTTTATCCGTTTAGACATTCAAGTTGCACAAAGCTACAACTTGATATAATCATTAAGAAAGAAACTAATCATCAACCTGCTCAATATCAACTTAAATAGTTTGCATTTTTAACCTAAGAAAGAACTGGAAATTAGTCAAATAGCGCAGCAAAATTTGCCTAATTAAATGTTCAGCTTTTCT